ATACAAATCCAAACTGGCATTACAATAGTAAAACTGATATCCAACTGCTGAGCAACTGTTACTGCAGCCAGCAAAATTGGAAAGTTGGTGGGCTGCTGGACTAGAGGTGACCAGGTCACATCTACAGCTTCATGAAATTTCTTAACCTTCATAATTTACTTCATTTGAATAATTGTAAAGACCATCTGCCACAACTGTACTATATGTTTGGAATATGATGAGCTGCGCACTTGTTAACTTTGAGCAAGTCTGAACTTCATTTTTATTATTAACTGTGTGATTAGCATCACATGGCACCAAGTTTTCATGAGAGCGTTGAGTGACTTTTCTCTGTACCTCTATTGTGAACAATAATTATTAAAAAACTCTTTACTACAGCCTCTGGAGCAACTGGAATTCACAGCCATTCGATGATTTCAGAGATTCAGGTACATTTTCTTGTCAAACTTCATCAGCCCTTGATTTTTCTTATTATCCTCTAAAATTGTGCTTGATAAAACCAAATTTTAACCTCTTGCTTCTTGATAAGTTTTTTTTATGTTTTGGTTGATTTGATTGCAGGAAAAGTAAATCACAACTTTATGATTGGAAACTTGTGGGAATTACTCATTTGTCAGCAATCCCACGTTAAAGTCCTGCTTGATTTATATACAAATTTAAGAGAGACAAAAAACTATACAAAAAGAGAATTAAAAAACAAGCACTGCAACTCACCAAACACTGTTGGGCTTATAACTGAAATATGCAGTTTACTTGTCAGATCTACTTAGTCAGATCTGCTTAGCAGCTACTTGTCAAACTGCTAACACTAACAGTAGTATCTTTGCTCACCTCATCGTTTGACTTGGTGAGAAAGGCCAGACTTGTCAGCTCGACCAAGATGTAGAAAAAAGGAGTCAAGGCTTCTTCGTTATCAGCACCGGCACAGGACAGCACTGGGCACTTTTGCAACGATCAGCTTACAAAATACATCATCATGTGCTGACGGTCAAGTACCCAAGACTATATGTATATGCATGCATTCGGCGACACATTATATGTGCATATATATAATCGTGCAGAGCTGAAATTTGAGAACCGTTGTCGTAGCAGACGACGCTTTTGGCTGTCTCGCAGCCGCGACCAAAAATCAGTCCCCCTACCACTCTTCTTAGACGCGAGAGTGGTGGGGAGACCACTTTTCGCCATCTTGAAGCCAACACTGCACTGGCATCATAAGCTTAATTGCCGCAATATAAGCACAATATCTTGCTACCTCTATCAGTTGATTAAGTTAAAACTATTGACCTAATTAAAACGAAAAAAAGTTGTTTGTGTACAATAAACATTAGAGAAGAAGTTGAGCTGAATCTGAAGTTGAAAAAATGTTGTGGGTGCTCGTGACAAGCTAAAAAATATAAGTATTTTTTCTCAGCTTCCATTAACACTGCTGAATTTTTTTTTTAATAATTGAAAAACAAGCGCAATCCAATGTCATGAGTTATAAATGAAGAAAAATTTCATTTATGGAGTGAGTGTCTTCTGTTAAAAGTTTTTGTTAAATAAGTTTTTTGTTTATTTATTAAAAAATTTGAACTTTCAAAAGGTATAAAACATTATCCGTACCTACTAACTTAAAAAAATCAGACCTCGATTCATAATTTTACTTTAGCTTTCAAATGTCACTGCCTATTTTGACGTATTTCTAGCATAACAAACTGTAAAATACGTTTTATAAACATATAATACACGAGAGTAGTGTCAAGCATTTTTTTTGCTATCTGATAATTATGTTTACGTCATACAGAATTGTTTAGATAAAAAAATAATAATTGCAATTGTTAATAGTAGTCTGATCATTGGGCTAACGTTGTAATTTAATGTTTTTATGTATTATTACGATTGCTTATAAATAAGTGGTTTTAATTATGTCGAATTTCATGTGGGTTTGGTTAAAAGTCTGAAACCCTAACGGGACACTCTTAGATGCGTATTACGTTTTTGCACTTGCGTCCACTAACATCGCACGATTGATTGCCACAAAATGCGCATTACATGTTGCCACTTTTATGTGTCAATAGTGCCAAAAATAGACCTAATTAAAAAAAATGTGTACAATAAATATTGGAAAAGAGATCTAGCTGGATCCAAAGTCAAAAAAGTGTTTTGGACGCCCGTTACAAGTTAAAAAGCATCGTATCTTGGCCTATAATGACACTTTAGAGTTTGTTTCAAAGTTAATTTAAAACAATCGCAATCTTATGTTACAAGTTACAATTGAAAAAAAAAAACATTATTAATGGAGTTCAGGTCTAGTGCTATGAGTTGTTGTTAAGTAACTTTTTAGTTTATTTATTTATTTTAAAATCTGAAATCTTGGGAGATCAAAGACATTATAAATATCAACTGATTCCTGAAAATGAGATAAAGATTTATCGTGGATTTCTAACTGTGCGATAAATGGAAATTTTAAATAATAAATTTTTTAATAGATCGCCATTTTGGAATTTCGCAATTGGAACAAGCGTTCAATATTAACCACACTTAAGCTTATAATATATCTTTTCTTCAAAAAATTTTAAACTAATAAAAAAAATAACTGTAAGGCAAATTAATAATATATTTTGTATTAAAGAAAAACCATGATGCATATTTCGCTTTACAAAGAGACGTTTACGTATTGTTCCTTTTATTTTTTGCTTGATTCGAAGCCCACATACGATAAAGCAACTACGATGCACAAACACCCTAGCATCCTGACAATCGCACTTTTTCTGTATTCCAAGATTTAATGTACTATCGCCGTCATAAAATATTAAATTAATCTATTTTAAAAAAAAATGTTATTCTAAGATTACGAAAAAGTTACCTCGTAAGTTTGTAAAATACTCTCTTCAGATGATCTATCTAAAGTAGTATCAAGGAAGTGTAATCCGTCACAAATACTATCTGTAGAAAAAACGTTGTTTTCGTGTTTATTTTGCAGACTTTTAAAGATACTTATGATATAGTTTGAATTGGAAGCATATTTAAATGACTGGAATTCTCGAAGTTGAGTAATTTTAAATGATGATTTTACAGGGCACAATTTCCAACTTTCATTTTCAAGAAATATTCTTAACTCTTCTAATCGAGAAACATGGTAGCTATCGAAATAAATTACGAATTTTTCTAATATGTATTTATGCAGTTTCGATTCAAATTTTTCACATACTTTTTTTTCTATTTTAAATATGCTGAAAATAAATGGTTATAAATGGTTAGCATTAATTGAATTATTTGAAAACAACAACATTGAACGTACATAATTTTTCAAATACCTGTCAACGATATTCAAAATTTCCAATAATTTTTCAAATTCAAATGATATGAAATCAAACACATCTATGAAAATAATAATTTTATTTTCAATGTCAAGAAATATTTTTCTGATATCGTTTTGAAACTTATTAAAAATGTCGTTTTCATTAGAAATCAGTGAATTCTTCGCATCCTTAGAAAATGAAGGCACATCAACACTTTTATGCCATTTAAAAATTAAAAAGTAGGATTTTAAAATCTTTAACAAAGATTTACAAAGAGTCATAAGGCAGACCATAAAGTTGTCTATGGACACAGTTTTACATACATGTTGATATTCTCTTTGTTTGTCCACATTAGAATATTTTTTAACACAGTTGAAAGATACTGTATTTATAGTTGCTGTGAAATGCATGTGCAATTGATTGATAGCACTTTGAGATTTACCCAAAAAATTGTATGCATGTTGAATATCAGTATATTTATCAAAATTAAAATCAACACACATTTTGGATAATGATGAATCTAAACTTTCTTCAACTAGATCGAATACATCAGTTATATTGATGTGCAATGCTGTGATATCAGCATATTCTCCATTTAATTTAGCTTCTTTCTGATATTCTAAAATTAATAATATCACCTTCTGATAATTTTCTTCTTCAATGTAGTATTTAAGCCAATATTTTCTACGGCACTATTTGAAAAAAAAAAAAAAAAAATTCTTATTACTACAGTACAAGGTTAGTTTTTAAGACTAAATAACATAGTTATTGCAAATCATCAAAAAATATCTCATGAACATTAAATGTACTAGATTATATTAGAAACCAGAGTGTATGTAGCAATCTAGAATAGACGTACCATCATATTTGACGCTACTCTTGTTAAAAAAAAGTGTATTATGGAAAAACTTAATTTTATATTAGGGATTATCTAGATCCAAAATACGTTTATTAAACTAGTAACAACCACAAAAAAAAGTTGATAACATTGACGATAGTTCCTTAAAGTCATATTTTGCAGGTACTAAGATTCCGTATGTCAAAGTTTAATGAGCAAGCTCGGTTGTCTAGTAATACATTTTGCATAGTTAGAACAATCCCTTTATGTAACTAAAATGTGGGAATAATGTATAGTTGTTAAAGTTTGATAAAAAAGTTGAAATCAATGCAAAACTGCAAATCATGAAAAAACTATTTTAGTTGTAGTTGATATCTTATAAATAGTGACAATTTACATAGTACGTTGTCGTTAAAACACGCTCATGGTTCATTTTCAAAGAAGAATCACAGTTAAAAGTTTTGTCAGTACTATAACGTTTGTCATATCCTTCAAGACAAATCAGAAGTAAGTAAATGCTTAGATACTCAAGTATAAAGTTATAACTTTTATAGCAGACAATATATTAATGTATACATTGCAGATCATTCAAATAACTTAAACGTACTGCGATTTATTGAGAGTGGTACAGTTGTTTTTAAAACTACCTACTTGGTGATGAGGTGTGTTTTTAATGATTTTTCAAATACTAAATAAACAATTAAAAAAATATATCATGTATAGGTAAGGAAGGTAGCACGTGCAACTATGGCATGACGTGTTTTTGCGTGGGCCAGTACAAGACTGCCCACTTTTATCAAACGTTTCAAATTTTTCAGAACAATTTTCTATGCTGGTAAAATCTATTTGATTGAAAAATGCGTTACGACCCACACATAAATTTAGTGATAGGTAACCTTCTATCACAAGTCGCTTGCTGCTAAGTGGATACGGAGCTGAGCTCGTGTGCACGAGGTGCGTGTCTTTTTCTTTTAGAAATTGAATGAAAAATTACAGAAGCCAGAGTAGAAAATGTCTTGTAAGAAACACTTATATGACATCTATGCATAATGTAGCTCAACAATATAATTTTCGTATGAGTGATGGCAGGCCCTATATAAATTCCATTATATTTTATTGTAGAAAAATATTAAAGTAAGGACAAAAATACGATTAAATAACTAACAAATAAATTATTCCAGTCACAATGTTTCACTCGTTTAGAAATCTTTTGATGTTAATAAAATTTTTGTTGATACGTTTTTCCCTTTCTAAAAGGCAGTAATTAGTAAAAAAAACTTAATTCACAATGATAAACTTTTATATAGTTTAACGTTATCAACATTGCTATTAACTACTTTGTTATAAATTACTAATTGCTTTACAATAATCATCATCAAATGTAAAATTTTACATTTTATGAAAGTAATTGATTTTTATTACTTTCTCAACATTTTGTTAAATGTATCTCGATAAAAAAAGGGATTTATTAAAATTAAACTGTTTATTTTTATGCACTTTTTTTTAAACTACAGACAACAAATTTATCAGTTATTACTCAAGGCACCGCGTACGAATTTCAACAAAGATTAAGCTTCCTTGGCATGGAGAAAGTGCGTATGCACGTGTGCGTGCAACAGAATTGTACACGCACACGCAAATTAGAAAATTAATGGATCTAAATTTTTTCCCTTTTCGGCAACGATCGCTAACGTCAAAACGATAATAATACTGAGGTTAAGTAATTGATACAATCCAATGATATAAAATAAGATGCAAGAGAAGAACTACAGGTTACAGTAAATATCAGTAAAAAACATAACTACTAGGTAAATGAGAACTAAAAATTTCTTGAACGCGTCTTTTCGGATTATCCAGTACAGGAATTTAACTTTGAAGCAGAAACGTAATTAACAGTGTAATAAACATTGATGCTTTATCTGAAGCTTTGGATGTTATTATAAAACTAGATTTAATACAACTCTTCGTAAAATTAAAACTAGTTTAATTCTAAACATTCTGCCCACCTATCACGCGAAATAGACGTAAGTGAATACAACCAAAATCACTGTGCTTAGAACTTGACACTAATACGTAATACCATTGAAGAACTGCAGGTAAAAATTTGATGAAATGTTTGGGATGTAGGTTAAGACAGTGGGTCAGAGAACATCCAACTAATAATCGTACGTTTAGTTATTAACGATCTGTATTAATCCGTTCGCAAGCCATCTAGTAATACAAGTAGATAGGTATCTGCTCTCAAGAGTAACTTAATTTCAGTTGGCGTCTTGTGAAATTACTGGCTAGCTTTCACCCGATACACTTGCTCGATGGCTTATAAGTGACGGGTAAGAACTTAGTGATCAACTAGAGCACGAGTGCTTGACATGAAAGACTTTTGTGGATATTAAAAGTTGACGTCATAGTCAACTGCACTTGGCTATGTACTGATGGAGCTGTACAATTACTGATACCACTGTGTTATCAAGATAAAGCTTGGAAAGACAATCCGAGCCTCTGGAGTAAATTTTTGGCTACAAGTGTTAACTGGGAGCCACTGAACGTGAGTTCAACCATCAGCGCCTTGCAGCTTAACAAGGTCTGTTGCCTACATAATTGAAGTAGCAACATTTTCTGGTACTTGTAGGGCAAAAAAGAGTTAGCTGTAATTAACAAGAGTAACAAAGAATACTGTATTTTTTCTTACTCTTAAATAATAAATACTGTAGATACATACGACTCGGCGACTGTCTCCGCGTATTTGCAAAGCGAGTTTATTAGTTTGCAAAACAGTTACAAAAAATGTTTCGTTTACAATGATGCGGCTACAATGACGAGAGAAAATAAATGTTTTTTCACAAAGCCTAAAAATAATTAATTGCAAGGTTCTACACTAATAATTATTTTTTGTTTTTTCTGATGCGTAACACATTCATACAGCTCCAGCAAGCCAATTTGCTACATGAAGAAGTCTGTAAAAAAAGGATTTCCAGGATTGGATTTGAGAAACTTAGCAACACTTTAGGCTTTTCTATCAATGTGTCTTATTATTTAACAATAAATAAATGACATCACGGAAAATATAAAATACAAGTTCATAGTAAAAAATTTTTAAATAGAAATTAAACATACGAACTTACAGAGTAAAATGTGAATACACTGTATTTATTGACATGAAACCCCAAAATAAAACAAATGAAAAAACAGGTCATACAGGGCTTATTCTTTTCCATTTTCACCACGCAATAATATCTAATCATTTTATTCAAGGCACAACAAATATAAACAAGGCTTTGTGTAAAATAAAGCTACAGAAATGACAAAAAACGCAGATTTTGGCGAAGGAAATCATTTTTACAAAGTACAAAAACAACAATTCATAGGTTCTAAGGGGCTAACATTTCTTTTATTCCAGTCCATAATGTTATTAAATCATTTTATTTAAGGCAGACTCACTATGAAAACAATGCTTTAATGCTTTGTTATTAAAAAAGCTGCTGACATGATGACATTCTATAATCGTTTTATTTAAGGCACAAAAACTATTGTCATTGCTTTGTTTACGATAAAGCTGTTTAAGATATGAAAAACATTTACTATCTGAAAAGAAAATTATTTTCCCAAAGCCTCAAAATAACAACAAAGAGTTTCTAGAAGGTTTCTTGTTTTTTTTCTCCATACTAATCATTTTAATCAAAGCACCAACATTACAAAGAATGCTTTGTTGGCAATAATGCTACTGCAATAACAAGAAACTAGGATTTTCTTGAATAAAATAAGTTTTACAAAGCAGTAAGTTTTACAACAATAAAAGCAGTTAGCTTACGAATTAATATAATTAATATTAAGTTTTCTTTTATGTATTCCTTCTTACCGACATGTATTCATTTAACATTGTATTCTGTATACATTTAAGGCTATAAATCTAGTTTTTCGACAACTAGTATACGCCCTAAAAAAAAATTTTTTTTGTTATACTAGCTTTAAGTGAAAATAATTTGTATTAGTACATTTTTATATGATTTTCACATATAAGACTACGAATCAAGTCTTTTAACAATCAGTTGACCCCCTAATTGCGTTACTCGTATTATATATATTGTTACTGGGAGGGGAGTGTGTGGGGACTCGGCGCTCTGCCTTGCCAACCTTACTTTGCCCCCTTTTCCTCACTTATATGTGAGTACTTGAAATGCGCTAAGATTAGTAAAGGTATCTTCTGCTGTAGTTAAACCACCTGCGTACTACTCATTCACCCTCACCTGAACACATAGGCTTATAGGGGCCATCATCCCTTGCTTGGCAACCAGCAGGATTTACAATATTCCATACGCTCTTACATAAGTAAAATATATACATAGTTTCCAGTATAAATGTATTACATTCTCAATACGCTTCTTTACATTTATATTGGTCACCTTTATTTAATTTCTTGGACTTAACATGTCTCTCAACTTTTGAAACTTTAATCTTTCAAGAGATTTTGAAAAAATATCTACAATATTATTTTTTAATTCAACCCTTATAATATCAATTATTCCATTCAAATATCTCTCATTGAAAAAATAATAATGTACTTCGACATATTTTCAATTTTTCGTGAAATTACCAGTATCTGATATGCTTACAGCTTTAAAATTGTTTTCATGAATTTTAATCAGCTTGTATAACTTTAAGTTATAAATATATATCGAATATTTTACTAGTCTTAGTTTACTTACAGCCTCTGATAATGCAATATGTTCAGCTAATGTTGATGATTTTGTTACACTACTCTGTTTATGTGTTTTCTAATAAATTACATTACCAAAAAATCTTATTACGTAACCAGATGTAGACTTCCTGTCTATATTTTTACCTACCTAATCTAAATCTACATAACATTCCAAAATATTGACACTTTTATTTTTCTTGTACATTAATTTTAAATCTCTAATAAGGTGTACATACTCTAAAACTGTAATCACAAAATTACAATGTGTTTCATTATAATAGTTTAAATATCTGCTTAAATAACTTACGCTATAACTTATTACAATTTTTGT